TATTCTAGGAACTGGGATGAGGGGAGTGCGAGCAGGCTTATGAAAATGCAGATTGCTCTGCCCCACTCCCAAAGTTGGTGGGTCAGCAGCTTTGGGGTGGGGACATGGGTTTCCTTGCTAGCCGCTCCCCAGCTGGGCTGGTACTGCTGTTTAGGGACTTCACTCCACTTGAGTTTTCTCTGTATTTATTAAACATGGTCACAAACCAAATACATGAAGCTTTATTGTACTTCTTAGATGATATTGGATATAGTTATCTGAAGCCCTATGTAAATTCAGTTTAGTAATTTAAGTTTTTCATTAATGCTTCTAATTTTGGAATAAATTGCCAAAGCAAGGTATACAATATGATTTAATAATAATGACACAAGAGTCAGGACATAGATCATATAAGTTCTCATTTGTTTCTACAATATTCTTCTATATCTTCTACAGTATTCTTCTGTATCTGCTTTCCTCTCCTCTCCGCTGTTCTTTTATCCCCCTCTGACTTCCTATGAACACTCATTTAGTGTCTGCTCCGTATCTGACATCAAACTGCGCGCCTGGATGCAGAGATAATAAGAAATATGCAAGTTTATGGTCGAGTCAGGAAAGACAGACATGAAAATGAATGACTGCTATCACATGGGTCAGGGACAGAAATGAATGTGTCCAGTGTACAGGCACAGGGCATTCGGGAGGGATGGTGGGGTGGCAGGAAATGTATCCCAGAGTAGAACTGAAGAGCCAGGATGGGATCACACCCTAATTGGAGGGGAAGGGAGCTATAACAACAACGCTACAGAGGGATTTCCCCCACTCTTTAGCTTGCATCTTTGACTGAAAGAATTATGAGCTGCTAAGGCTTTACTCAAAACTAAGGAATGTGATCGTTTTCTTACCAGAGAAACTATACAGTATTACACATTTATACTGCATAGTTTCTCTGGTGTGAAAAAGTAAAAGTGTAAAAAAAAGGATCAAAATATATAATTGATATTGGGTAATAGGAAGAAAAGGTCTAAAGGTGCAGGGGAAGGAGGAGGGGTAGGGGAAAGCTAAGAAGGGAAAAGAAAAACATATGAGAAAAGGGTAAAAAAAGGAAACAAAGTCTTTGTAAATAGGGAAGAGTGGAAGTGGGAAGGGAGGGCCGGGACAAGGAGGAAAAACAAGAACCAAGACCTGTCAGGTAAAGGTACAAGATCCCAGTGATAAATGAAACTGTATCGTATACCTAAAATGTACCGATAAACTTAGTGAGAGAAAATAAATAAATAAAGGTTTCCCTTTAGCCCTGCCAAAAAAAATAGGATTCTTAATGTTCATACACTTGAAGACAATGACAACTTCATTTGTTAAGATATAGATATAACAATTTTGTCAGCTGATAAAATTACAAACCTATTTTAGGGAAATTGAAGGAAGTTTATGTTACAAGGTTGTATAAATGTGTGTGTTCTGGATCCACTGACACAGTCCTGGGGGCTGGCGTGTGCGAACCCCACCCGTGAGGAAAGACTCAGTTGCAGACAGGACTAGGAGGAGGCTCTGCCATGAGAGGGATTCGCCTTCTAGCCGGTTCCTCGAAGCAGCTGAGCCTGGGAGCCTTGCTGTGGTATTCACCTCTGGAGCAGATATTCCCGGCACACCCTGAAATTGAAGTCAGACCACTTCTCAGGAATCCCTTCATGTGCTATAAAATGAACACATGTGCTTGGACCTCTACCATGTCAAGTTGTAAGAACTTTGACTCAGTGAGTGGACGGTTATGATGAATCAAGAAAAAAGCAGAATAAGGTCAATGTAGCAACACTTTGAAGTTCCTGGCCCTTCCTGTCACTTATAACCCTTGCGATTTTGAACAAATCTCTTTAGCATTACTGAGCTTCAGTTTTTCTCATACAGAATATTATAATATGAATATCTTTAATGAAGTAAGACAATGTATGAAAAGCATTTAGCATATTATAAATATTAAAGCAGCAAAATCGCCACAGAGAATTAAAGCATTTACTATAAATGAAGCTTAATCAATCCGGAGATTATATGGAAAGATACAGTGATCTACCAGTACCCTTAAATAGTCATATAAAGAGTTGTTTTAAAATTATAAATTATTTGAGGGAGATTCGCCCCAAGCCTAAGAGCCAGACAATTATCATGTGTAGGCCTCTCGGGACATCAGGACTGACGAACTCCAAGTGGGTTGAACTGGGACCCTGAACAGACAGGCACCGCACCACTGAGGAGTTGCTTGAAACTCTTCCATGCTTACTGAATAAAGAAAACATTTTTATCTCAGTGGGATACACTCATTTATTCAAGCTAAGTTTTGAAAACTGAGCGGTAGTACAGTAATATTTGGGTTAAAGCCAAGGTCATTGGATTGCTCAAGCAGCTAAAATTAATTCATGTGCCCATATTAAAAAATAGTGAGTGTGGCTCTTCTGGTTCACTAGCAGAAATGATCTTCAACTATACGGTCTTAAAGAATCTTGAATTGAAAACATTTGTAGATGGCCCCTCTCTCACTTTGTACACATATAAGCATTATTACGATCAGTAAAAAAGATAAACTGAAAGTAGGGTGGCCTCAGACAGGATAAGCTATGATCTGCCATGCTTTGCAAGTATTTACAAGTATATTTACAAGCATCAGCCTTGCCTCATTACCCTAATGCTCCATGATTGATACCCATTCAAGACAAGGAACTTGAGGGTTAGAGGGCTTCCTCGCTTGTCCAGAGCTTTCATCTACCTTTCGTTTAGCTGATGAGTGACGAAGCAAGGATCTGAACCAGCTCTGCATGAGTTCCTTGGCTGTGCTTCCTCACTGGTTGGTTTTAATTTATCATGATAGACTCTCAAATTATAAATCAGCCTCATACAACCCAGTGCCTATTTCTGTCCACCCAGTAAGATGAGCCATTCTTGCAGAGTCCCTGCAAGCAGGTGCAGGTATGGCTTAACCAGAGCTCAGAGACTGCTGGGCCTCACACAGATGCCCACGGAAGTTTGGAGTCCATGGGGAGCACCGTGTGACAGGGGGCATCTCGGCCTGAAGTGATGGAGAGGTCTTCCTGAACCTGTGATGAACACTGACTGGAGCCCCAGAAATATGTGCTAGGCTTAAATAGCAGGAGAGGCTCTGCCTCAAGCAGTCTTGGAGTGTCTGTGTTTTCTCTTTCACATGCATCACAAAGACCTGCTTCTGGAAGGAAAACATTGTCTCATCCAAGAAGGTTTTAAAATAATACTTTGAACTTCTTCCCTGTGAATAATACTGCTCCCAGAACATTTTATGTGTTTCCCACTGAGTGGGAGGGAGTACAAGGGACCCAGCCTGACTCTTCTGTGTATTGTCGTGGCCCAGCCTTCCAAGTGCTGGACCCTCGTGGCCTAGGCCTAACGGATCTTGGGCTACAGTCAGGCTTGCTGCATCTGAACCACAGAGGCATCCAGCAAAGCTTGTTCCCCGAAGGACTGTTTGTTCATTTGTGCACATCTTAGATCTCACCTCAGTTGTTTTGTCAACTCATAGGAAAGAAGTTGTATTGCCTTAGGTAGAATGCTTGGGAGATTTACATGGAAATTCCTAGGTGCAGTACACATTCCCTTTCACATTGTTACTACTAATAATGATTAAGAGAAAAAGAGAGGAGGTCATGCCATTTGCTGGTAATCATGAAGCACAATAATACGAACAGTGTGCATCTCTATCGATCTTAGACAACTAGAGCATGTGAGATTTTAGCTGCTTGTTGCAACTTTTTCTTTCTTTCCTCTCACATCTCTGCCTGGAAATCTTTAAGAAATATGGTAGAATCGGCCCAATATTAATACTAAATGTGTGTTCTTAAGGCAGTGTTCTAGAAATGGTTTTAAGATCCATGTGTACAAATGATGCATGCATGTGCATGTGTACATATGATATTTGCATATTATATGTGTTTGTGCCTACAGACTACCTATAGCAATCATGTTAGAATGAACTGTTATCTCCATTTTCACATGAGGAGCTGAGGCACAGAGAGCTTAGAAACTTATGCAAGGTGTACACAGCTAGTGACGGGGATGTTAGAGTCTCTGTGTTTGCCCATCAGATGATTCAGCCTCCAGATTGGCTGTTTCTTGGGTGACCTGGGAGCCTTTCATATGTCTGTAGTGATTCAGGCTCACGTTTAAAAATGCTAAGTGGGAGTTTGGCAGCAGGACTTTGGTTAATAACACATACAGTTGCAGAATCAATAGCATTTGTATCTCTAGTTCCACCATTTCTGAGCTGAAGGCACTTGGCCATGTTCTTTACTTAACTATAAAATGGCAGTGCTAGCATCTGCCCCCACACTCACCAAGGTGTCATGAAGACATCTGGAAATACTTCAAGTGTTACGTAAATATTCAGCAATGACTTTTTAAAAAAATGCAATCACAGTGAACTTTGGAATGCTGAGCTAAGCCTTTATCACTCCATGTCTAGATCTGTACTGTATTAATGGCTCTTTCAAATATATTCATACACAAATCTGCATTAGTTCCTTCTCCGAGAAATGAGAGTTGTCATGCTCCTCCTTAGACCAGGATCCCATCACTATTTTCATAAAGACAGTGTTACTCCAATAGGGAATCCACTTCTCTATTGTTTTTGCTCTTACCTAGGAAACTAGAATCCTGCATTATAAATGCAGGTTTGCTTCATACATTTTAATCAAAGTCAGAAACGCTCAGAATGGAATAAGTCATCTGAACTGGACCAAGACAGTCCAGAGAGAGGAAAGCTGAGAGTCAGCACGAAAGGCTTGCTGACATCACCCAGCCAATTTGGGCCACAGTGGGCTAAAACCCCAGGCTTTCTCTGACTTCTAGCCCAGGGCCAACTCCATGTTGCAGCCCTGCCACTTGTACCGAGAAATTGAGGGTGTTTGGAGTTTCCCGGGTTTGGTACTTTGTTTTATTCTTGATAGCTGTTCTGAAATGAAGGTGTTCCCTACTAAGTGTTTGCCCTCTGTTATTTACAGAAGAAGACTGCATAAGCTGGGTGTGTCCAAGGTTACCCAAGTGGATTTCCTGCCCCGAGAAGTGGTGTCTTACTCCAAGGAGACCCAGACTCCTCTTGCTACACATCAGTCTGAAGGTAAACCATGTCCTTTGTTTCCTCTCCATATCATCTCCAGAGAAATTGCCAGGGAATAGCAGCCTTCTTGTTATTTCCTATCCTGTCATAAGAAATCTTCCTGAGATACAGACACTCAGATACCCTAGTTAGACCCCACTACGGTGAAATTATATGAGGAGAAAACCCTGAAAAATGAAAATCACCAGCATACTGTACAGTAGACAGCGTTACACACGGCATCAATAAGATGTGTATGCTAAAATTCACCATTGGCAGGGCTCAGCAAACCACAGTCCACCACCTGTTTCTAGAAACAGTGTTATTGAGATATAGCTGCCTCCTTCCTTTTACACCTGTGGTTGCTTTCCTGTTACAGTGTTGAATTCTGTAGGTATTAAAATCTTTAATCTAGTCCTTTACAGAAAACTTTGCTGATCCTAGATTTGCTCGGTCAATCCAAATAACACCGTGTTTCCACCCTCCATTTAAAACTAGTTTCCTACAAGCTACACCTAGGTGAGTGGCCTTGGAACTCCATGCCGTCTTGGTACATACCAGGAAACATCAAGGGGAAAAGCCACATACAAATCTCAGTGAATCTCGAAACAAACAAGCTGAAGCTGATAAATCAAAATTCTTCCTAGAAGTAAGATTACTTCAAAGCAAAATTACATAAATGTAAAAGAAGGAAACGTGTGTACTGAGAGTAAGATGAGCAAGTTTGCATTTGTAGAGGGTAACAGTACAGCAAAGCAGATTCTCTCTTGAGTCTGTGCAGTGTTATCATTTAGGGTGGCAAAGAACACATCTGAATTATGGGCTCATTGTTGGTAAGCAGTAAATATTGAACAAAACCATAATAATGAAAAGTGGTTAGCGTTTATTGCTTGGTTTATAGTAGGTGTATAAATCAGAGCATCTTGGTTTGTGTAAGCTACAGAGACTTTTAATTTTTATTCTAAATACATAATGCCAACACAAAGTAAAATCTTAGTTTTGAACTTCAGTGCTGTCTATCTGTGCCATGAGACCTTTCCTGATTAACGACCTGGACGCAATTTTTTTCATAGCAGGGTCTCTATTCTTCAAGCCTTGACGTGAATTTTAGAAACGAACACGTAGTGCCCTCTGGTGGTATAATGTTAAGTATACCTATCCACAAATTTGAGACCTGTTATTAGTGAGGCAGAAAATACAAAGTCAGAAAAGCCTTAGCGAGCTCTATCCTTGGGCTTCCAGACAAGAACAAAAACATTAAAAACAACCTCACCACCCAACCAAAACATTTGTTCGAGTTAATTTGCTGCCAGAGGTATTTGGAGAGCTGCAGCCAGAGGTATATTTAGCCCCAAATTTGATCCATAACGTAAAGTTATACAACTGAAATAAAAGGAATGGATTATTTTCTAAAATGTGTGTACTCAGGATATTGGAAATCGTGCAGAAATATTTACAGGGGAAGATAAATTAAGAATGAAAAGGCATCAGCTCTAAACTTTTCAAGTGAAACACATCAAAAGAAAAAGCCTGTACATTTCATTTTATTACTGCAAAGAGAGCTTGGGAGCCTTCATTATGCTGTGGTCCAAGCAGCAGGAAAGAAGGAATTTATTTCTCAGATATTGGCAAGAGTTATTTCTGTTTTGTTAACAAGACTCATAGAGCTTTCTTGTGGTGGTGGACATTTAGATGGCTCAAATTCCACAATACAGATTTGAACCCAAGGCTCACTACCGTAGCTCTTGATAATGAAGCAATCCCTGATGGGTTCAGACGAGAAAACCTTTAGATTTTGGTTCAGCAAGTTGTGCCGTCACCACAGGCGATGCCCGACCTTTGGCTGCCCGTGGTCGCCCAGCCGCTGGGCTGTCTAGGATGCCCGGTGCTCACCTTTCACCTGCCGTGCGTGTGAAGGTGTTTGCCAGGAGGGGGTGAGCAGCAGTGGGCAGCCAGCATCGAGGTCCCAGCGTGAGGCAGATGTGAGTCGGCTGTCGCTTTGAGGTTGGAGCCATGGCAGCATTTTCATGACAACTGCAGTTTTCAGCAGCAGGAAACAACTAAATACCGAATGTTATGGTACAATGAGGCATTTGCATGGATAATACTTGAAGCCATTGTATATGTAAAATTCACTTTAGCTTTTAATTCTCCAAAATATATGTGAAGCCTTGGTGACTGTTTTTTAAGTCACTGACTAGAAAATTGAATCCTATTCAAGCTAGTGATTTGAGAGCATTGATTTGTTCTGCCTCTAGAGTGTAGCTCTAGTGCGTTTATTTTCCTGTGTATTTCACATTTTTATTTTTTTCAATGAAGGGGAAGATAGTCTGGGTTTGTCCAGGCCTGTCTCCTTTCTCGGCTGTGCGGTGTAACAAATACTCTCTCCGTAGTACTTAGCCTACACAAAAGATTCCAGAGAATGATTAAACTAGGAAGATTTAAGAATAAAGTCCCCATGAAAACTGCCCTTTCAAATATGCTAGACCTCCCTCATCCGTTCAGGCAGTTAGCTGCAGGAAAAGAAGCCTTAGAGAAGAAAAGCTGATTTGAAGCAAAATATTTCTACCCCCCAAACATTGTAAACACATGCTTTCTATTTCCAAGTAGTAGGGAAAGAAAAAATTATGGTTCCCTGCCAAATTGCCTCTGCTTTGCCTATTATTAATAATTCCCTGGACTGTCCGTGAGGTCCTGGTGTGGCAGAGCCGTGTTTGTTACAGTAACTAAGAGACTGCTCACCACAGACCCCCCAAAAATGTTGCTGAATGACAAAGATGATGCCAGACCATCTCCAGAGACTCCAGGTTCTGCACAGCCCTGGAGGAAATGAGAAAAATGTCAGTCAAACGGGAGGAAAGAAGAGGGCCTGCCTCTAAAATGTGGGTGATTTTGACAGTTGTCTGAACTTCCTCTTCCCTCCATGGTATCTTAGAAATAGGAACTTTGTGCTCTCCTCTTGGCCAGCCCATCTGTCTTCTTTCCTTGGATGCCTTGTTTCTTACATCCAAGAAAATCAAACCAGGCCTCCATGCACTAGCACATGCTGCGTCCCTGTCTGAATGAGTCTGCCTGGGGCCCTCCTTGGGAGTGTGCCTAAGGCTGGTCTCCTTGGCTTTTCCTCCTCTGGCTGATGTCCCTCTCATATTCAGGCATAGTCTGCTCTCCCTTTGTCACACGATATCGCATTGCTGTTTCCATGTCTTACGTCTTAGACTGTGATCTCCTTCGGGGGAGTGTTGTGTTCTTTACTTTCACATGTAGCACAGAGCCTGGTTCAAAGAAGGTGCCCAATAGACCTCAGTGAAAGAAATGAAGAATGAAAATGAAATGGTACTACAGGAATAAGAAAAGCGGAAGCAGAAATACTCACTGCATGTCAAATGGCACAGAGTACGATCCATGCAAGAAGGCTGTATTGGTTTTATTTGATTATTGTGAAAAGGTCACGAGGCTGAGATTCTATGCTGAGCAGAGGTTCTATTTCCTCTTCACCCAGGCCTTCTGTTTCAGCCACTGGGCTGGTGCAGGCATGAGCTACTACCCATGAATGTGATGCTTAGGAGAAGTGGAGGAGAATATTACCAAGGCAGCCTGCACTGGCTCAGATAGAACAGATTTACTGTGTGAGAAGCTATGTAAAGGACTTTGTATTGGGAAGAGGTGCGAAATAAGGTGGCTAAGGAAGGCTTTTATTTCACCTTTGTATTTAAAAAAAATATATCATCTTGGCAGGCAGAGGAGAGTTTGGACATTGGCTTCCTATCTCTGGTATACACTTACTTCAGAAGCTGCAAGCAGAGAGATGATTGTTGTAAGAGAATGATAGCAATCTAGCTCAGTACTTTCCAGGAGAAATATAATTTCCATTGATCATTTGTATGATCTGTTTTGTTCAACTGTATAGGTTCAAAATAGTATCATTTTCAACATATAATCAGTATAAAAATTACCACTGAGATATTGCACATTTTTATGCTAAGTCTTCAAAATTTGGTATTCTATTTTTCTTCTTTTCCAAACTCACACGAAAATTCTCATCAGACATACTTGAGCTATAATTAGATTTCATAAGCTTTACAATTAAAGAAGTAGATTCATATAATACTCTTATTGCAAATATATTAAAAGATTTCCAATAATTGAATCAAGTGTCAATTTATTAAATTCAAACTTAAATTGATTACAGTTGAATAAAATTAAAAATCCAGTTTCTCCATTGCATTGGCAGCCAGTCAAGGGCTCAGTGGAGCACAGTGCTCATGGCTCCTGATCAGGGGCTGCTCAAATCTCTCAGAGGCCATACTTTTACAAGTGCAGAAACTCAGACCCAAAAAGACAGCCTAACTTGATGAGCTTTTGGCTTCACCCTAGCTGGGCAGAGGGACCAAGGTGAAAAAAGTTCCCTGATTCATAGGGAACTCCCCTGGGTGAATGATGGCACTGTGGATTCTTTCTATTTTGTGTCATCAAAACCACATGCAAGCAGGCATTAAGTGTTGGACTGCAGTGAAGTTGTAGCTCCAGATGGGCAACTAAAATAACCCGAATCCTGTCATCACAGAGTGGGAAACCCTTGGGCTCTCCCTTTGTAGCCTCTTTTGAGATGTGTCTTTCTGCAAGGAAAGGGGTCCCAGAGCCCAGGATTGACCTCCTCATCAGTTACCCAACTCTGCTGCTCCCCTAGCCTCCCTCCTTTCATGTTAGGTGATGAGAGATCACAATTAAAATGGAATTCTGAACTGCTGAAAGTTGAGTTCTAAATCTTGTATCTGTTGGCCTCGCAAGTATAATAATTGATTTAAAACAGTGCCAAGTAAGCTCATTTTCCAGAGAATATAAAGGTAAATATTTACTTGGGAGCTTAAATCTGAAATCAAGCAGCTCTTATATATAATTCCCCAATGGAAGCTAATCCTAAAATACCTAGAGATCACATGGGAGAAAACAGACTGTGACTCAAGCTTTCCAACTGAACTTTTGGCTTTCAATGCCTTGGATCTGCCTCTGAACTCATTATA